TGCCTCTGGCATAATTCATTTGCAACAGGCTGAATTATATTTTATGGCTGCTATTTTTCTCTAATTTGTCCTTGATTCCTTTGAGAGGAAGCAGTAACTCAATATATTAGTCACCACTTAGAATCCTCAGCACTGAGCATTTAAATTCTACCAAGTATGTGTCAGCATGTGGTTGAAAAAGAATGGAAAATTAAGGCTTCAGTTTCTTTGAACATAGTGGTTCATTCAAGTAACCTACCTGCATGGGCTAAAGAGCCAAATAACTAATAATATTCCTGATGTAAGAAAAAGAATTGATAAAGTAAGGAGCTTCTAGGACCAGTCAGAAAAGCCTATTAGGCTGGATTTTCAAATAATAAAATTCCCTTCCTTTCTGGGCAAAGCTACATTAGTTTACCCATTCATTCTTTATCATTCATTCACATAATGATTCAACATTTATTTGTACTCTGTGGCAGGCCTTGTTCTACTAGTAATACAGTCCAGAACAAAGCAAGAGTTTTTGTTATGAAGCTTATCTTCTCAGGAGGCTAAGAGGCAAAATCATGTATTACTCTGGAGAAAAAAAAAAAAACAGGATATGGGGTTTGGGTAAGTAGGCCTGGTATCGGGCACTGCTTGGTTGCTTTTCATAAGGGAAGGTCAGGGAGAACCCCAGTGACATTTGTTCAGGGATTGAAGGGATTGAAGCAGTGTGGCTATCCACTGAGTTGTCCATGTGGAGTGGGGCAGTGCCTGATGGGCTGAATGTTGAGAGCCACAGCTGAAGGGGCCCCAGCAAACTTCCAGCTGCCAGCTGATGATTGGCTCACAGCGGCCCCAGCAACTTCTAGCTCCTCTGTGGTGATGCTCATTGGGCTGTTTCCCCGCCCTTTCAGACCACGGAGCTCCTCATTGGGGGACTTTTTTGGCTCTGCCCATGCGACCCAGCCAATCGGCCTCAAGAGAAGGAGTGGGGGAGGTGGAGAGGCTTGTGGGAAGCCTGTGGTGGCAGTTGGGCTCTGAGGGTTTTTCCTGAGGAGCTGTGTGGTGTGGTGTGTGTGGTTCTAAAAATAAAGTTTGTTTCTTTTGACAAGTGGCTCCTGAATTGTGCCCAGCCAGACTGCGGCACTGAAGGCTGGTAAAGAGGCCTTTGAGGTAGGTAGTAAGGATAGCTGGGGGTGAGGTCAGAGGGATGGCAGAAATCTGGATTAGACAGAACCCTGCAGGCCATAATAATGACCTTTGCTTTTTCTTGGAGTGGGAATCTGCTGAAGGATTTTGGATAAATGATGATTCAAAAAATTTTAAAAAGTACTATCTTGAATAAGGGTAGAAACAGAAACCAAATAAGATCTCTAACTTTTGTATTCAGGCAAAAATGAAATGGCATAAATGCTTTCTTTTTTACTCACTGCCATCACTACGCCTTATTAGTAATGGTAAATTGTGCTCATCCAAATATGAACAATGTAATAACTTTGCCACATTAGTAATAACTTAAGTGATGTGCAAATTAATTATAGGCAGTGGATATTATAAAATAAGTTCTTTATTTAAATGGAAATGCTTTTCCATTTACCTAGCTTTTTTCTGGACACTCTTTCTCCTTGTCCTTTTCTATTTAATAATGTTATACCATTCTTTCAGTCACCCAAACTTGCACTTCAGCCATTTATGACTACTTCTTCTTCATCCTCTATACAGGGAATTTGTATTGTTGCCTTGCTGTCTCCTAAATCCATTTCTTTCTGCCATTCTTAACTTTGGTTTTTGACCTTCCTTTCATTTCAGAGTTAGTGACCCAATTTTCCTTCTTTAATCTATGTGAAATTCAGCAAAGAGAATATAGGTTTCTGAAGTGAGACCTTGATTTAGGTTGGTTCAGGTCTTTGTTCTTCCATGTACAATAAGGTCTTTGTAGTTTTTATACCTCAATAATACCAACATCTAATTTAGAGTATTAGTATCTAAGATTGCAATAAGGAGAAATGGGGTTATAGAGTGTTTAAAAAGCCTAGTAGCAAGAGGCACTTAAAACTCTTTCCACTGTTATTTGACATCACTCAATCCTTGATCTTTCTGGCAAATTCTAAAGCCAGAGCTCCATTGTGTCAGTCTTCTTTTCAAAACCTACAATAGTTCCCTATTGTCTCACACATCAAATACAGACACTTCTGCCTGCCATTCAGATATCCACTCTCTCAATTTTTCCCCCATTATTCTTCTCCAATATATTTTATGTATTAGCCAAAGTCACTATTTTATAATCCTGTTATTTTTCAAAAGTCATCTCTTAAAATCATGACAATCCTTCAACCTGTCTCAAATACCATTGCCTTAACAAAGCCACTGACAATCTGAAAATGTTATCTTCTAGTCCTGAAACATCCTCATTCTTGAAGGATGCAGCATCATGCTGATGCTCTGCAGCCAGAAAGCCCAGGTCCTGCCACTTAATGTCATCCTGTGGATGTTATTTAATCTGTGTCTTCAGTTTTGCCCTGCAAAATGAGGATAATGATACCTACCCTCAAAAGGGTGTTGTGAGTACTGAAAGAGTTATTGCATGTAAAGCACTTTGCCTAGTGTCTGTGACTTGGAAGTCAGTTAAATCAGTTTCTATTAATGTAGGCATAATTTGAACATTATTTTATCATCAGGACCCATATTTTTACTAAGATTTCAAATAAAAGCTGTTTGAGATACACTAGAAAGTGACATGAACTAGAAAACAAGAGCCTTGCAGTATTGGTTCCCACTACTAACCAAGTAGTGTGATGTTGAATATGAATATTTATCTTCTCTAGATATCTTCTTTTGGCTACAAAAAAAATAAAGAAAAGAAAATAAAAAATCACTAGCTCTCTTTCAGTTCCAGTAGCCAGAAAAATATCTAATAGCCACTACCAACTTGCC